AAAAAAAAAAAAAAAAAAAAAAAAAAAAAAAAAAAAGCATGTTCACACCTTTTGCTTCGTCCTTTCTATTTCACGGTTCACGAGACCGAAAACAATATCCCAGGAGGGAGCACTCGACTGATGTAGGGACTAAACACACCAGAGGACGAGATGGCACAGCCCTGCGTCACCAGACCCCCCGGTCCCTCCCGGCTGTCCGCGATGCCCGTCCAGACACCTCCAATAGCCATCCGGCCATATTCATCTACCTAACTCAGCGGAGGGGGGTTGGGTGGGGGGAGGGGGGACGATAACCCTCAGGCTGAAAAAAAGAGATTGTGGAAAAGAAGTAGAAGTGGAGGAGATATACAATACACCAGTACAAGGCTGGTGACTAGGATAGTCTTCATGAGATCTTGGGAATGGGAGTGGCCCTGCTCCTTTGCCCCTGCGCGAATCTAGTGGAGGTTGGTTGGGCAGCGCGGGCAGAAAGTAAGGAGCGTCTTCTCATGCGGAGTGGGAGGAGGGAGGCTTGTTATAAGCTGGAGCGTCATAAAGAGCTGGCGGTTTCAGACGTTCATTTGACCTGGTTCATCGGCTAAAGACACGAAGCAGGTAGCAGCACAATAATCGCTCTTCGCTTCGGCTACCTTTTCAAACTGTTTGCAGATAGCAGCGCAATAATGACAGCGGCGATGGAGTAGGAGAATTCTGTGCGAACATGTGAGGTGCTGCTTCGCTCTTCGCTTCGGTTACTTTTTCAAATTGTTTTTGCTGATTGTTCACCGGTTAAAGACGCGGAAGCAGGTAGCGGCACAATAATGACAGCGGCGATGGAGCAGGAGAATTTTGTGCGAGCATGTGTGGCGCTCTTCGCGTCGGCTGCCTTTTCCAATGGATTTCGCTGATTTTAATTTTGCATCTTCTAAATTCCTATATTCTTGCTCTAATCTCGTGCTTACAAAGTTATAAACTCAGCTTCTCAAATTTGCAAAAATAAACTTACAATTTATCTTCTATTTTCTGATCAGCCAAATTCTCATATACATGTACACACATACAGACATGTCGTTGAATTTCGACTATAATTTGAATTAACTTCTTAAAGTCCCAAGTAAAGTATTCTCATCTACATGTACACACATACACACAAACATATATCATCCACTGGGGCTCGTTCGACACTCCTTGGGGCGTCCTCGGGGGCGAAGGAAGTTTCCTTGGGGGTTTTCAGGGAAATTCCCGCCATCGTTCCACCTGTCCTCGGGGACGTCGCCCGAGGACATTTCCTTCAAACGATGTCAGACAAGAAAGAAAGAAATCAAATGTGTTTGAGGCCTTCAGCCAATAGTGTGCCGCCACGATCCAGATTCTCGGTTGTAACGTCTCTCTACCCATGTGCCCGCTCCTCTCCGTGAAACGCGGATTCCTTTTGCCCAAGGGACCTCGTGAGGTCCCTTGGGCAAAAGGAAGAAATGGCTGGGGAATCCTCGGAGCCCAAGGAATTTCCTTCAGAGTGTTCTCACTTTTTCTTTCCGACTGCATCCCCGAGGATAGGTGGAACGAACAATTTCTCGGGGACTTTACGCCCCCGAGGAGTGTCGAACGAGCCCCATTCTGAATCGCCAGCATAATTCGTAGGGATCTGTTCTATAACTACGTATCCTTGAATTTCGACTATACTTTCTCCATGTCTCAAGTAAAGTTCTATCAGGATTTTCTAATCCTGGAACCCGAAAACTTTGGAATCTCTCCGTTAATTAGTTTTTGTTGCTTCTTTTAAATTGGTGATACGTGCACATGGTGGGAGCTGCCAAAAGTTGATTGGCGCAAGGGGCAGGGGAATAATTGTAATAGTCTTACCGCTGCTCTGCGCTTTCTTTCAGTGTGTTGTTCTTAAAGATGTAGGGTGTTCTCGCCGCAACTTCTCGGGGGTTATTGCATATTTTTGAAGAGGCCCTGCTTTTCCAAATTGCGATCGACATTTTGGTAAGTGTGTCATTAATAACTGTAGTCGGCTGGATCGAATCGTTCCCAGAGGGCTGAACGGTAAGAAGCGGGTGGGGGGAGCTCTATCTTGCAGGGGCATCACAAGGTAGGGGGTGAATGTCCCGAAGAGGGTAGGGGCGGAGTAGGGAGGTGCCCTATTCTGGGGCAGGGGCTGGTGCGTGGGTCAACATCATTCCCTGCGGAGGCAAAAATGGGCGAGGGGCGGGGGGGCATGCTTTAGGTGGGAACTGCGTGCTCCTGGGGAAAGTGGGGAAGAGGGTTGGTCCTATATTGGGGCCGAGGGAGAGCGGGAGACTCGCCTCGGCGGAGGCAGTGTAGGGCTGAGGGGGGAGGGGTAGGGGGAGGGAGGGGCGATGTCTCTCGAAGAATTCTGACATCCAGTTTAGTATTTCTTTCCATTTGGTTCGCCTCTCGAGGAGGTTGTAGGAATAGGTGATATCTGGCGAGTCATCTTTGATCCTGTGTAGGGTGGTTGAAAATTCGGTTGCCCTCAAAGACCGATGCTGGAGCAACACTGGCCGGAGCTGGAGCCAGGTGGCACAACTCTGTGACCTAGCTTAATGGGGGCGTGAGGCCTGGTAGAGAGATCTGGGGGGCTGCTTGCGGGGGCAGTCTCAGTGTTCATCGGGGGTCGTCACTGAAGCAACGCTGGCCCGTGCTGGAGCAAGGTGGTGCAACTCTGTAACCTAGCCTGATGGGAGCATGAGGCCTGGAAGAGCTTCGGTTTGTGCTGAAAACAGCCATACTGGTGGTGGTCGAAGGTGGATTGAATAGGTTTCACCTATCTGATTCGTGGTTGGGAGGCTTGTTGTCACACATTTTCTGAATGTTTCTGAGTTTTCCTTTTTCTTCAGTTGTTCTTAGTCGAAGCCGGGTAATGGCCCCGGTAGCTCATTTTTGTATTCTGATAAGGGACGCTGGGCCCAGTTCCCAGCCGTGTTGCTCCCCAGGAATAGATTGGAGCATCGTCTCAAAAAAAAAAAGAAAAAAAAAAAGGGTACAAGGCTCTTTCTGCAACCTCTAAACTCTGCACAAAACTGGAGTCAAACAAAAATAATTTTAGTTGTTGTTGATTCAATTCTAATGTCCTGAATCCTGATATCCAGACATCAGGAGCCAAGTCCCTCTTGCCAAAATTCTTCATCTCTAACGGTCCATCTCTGCAACATCTCTCTCTATCTCTCTCTCCGTGAGCTCTGAACTCTGGACAAAACTGAAGTGGGGAAAAAAAATATTTAATAATTTAATTGTTAATTCAAATCTGATATCCGGATCTCCCAGTGTGTGGGGTAAGCCCAGAGACACAGACATCAGGAGCCAAGCCCTCTTGACGAAGTTCTTCATCTCTGACCGACGATCACTGCCATGCAATCTAGGATACGGCCAGCGGGACTCGGCAGAGATCGACCGTCAGAGCTGAAAAGGATTTTTGTCTCTGACGAATTCTGTCCCTGACGGGGAATCTGATATCTGACCTGGCGGCGCTGGCGTCGAGTCCCGTTTGCCCGTATCCATCATTTCGGACCTGGGGCCGACATTCTTAATCTGGGACCATCGATATCTGCAACCTAGGATCAGAAATGATGGGATACGGGCAAGCGGGACTCGGGGCCAGGTCAGATATCAGCGTCCTAACAACCTGGGGCAAGTTCCCACTTTCACGGATTAAGAGATTCTGGCCGTTGATCTTGGCTATCTACAGTCAATATCGCTTAATTCGTGTAAGTGGGACCTAGACCCTGGTAATGTACGTTGCAAGGAAAAGGATGACAGACCCCTTTTTCTTTTTCTTAATGCTGACCCTTCTTTTCTTCCCCTCCATTTCCGTATTTCCCGAAATTGCACCCTTTCATCAGCAGATAATGGTATATTCTATATAGTACTATATACAATGTTTCCACAAAAAAAAAAAAAAAAAAAAAAGAAAGAAAGAAGATTTGTAGAAACCCCAGTAGACAAAGGGAGAACGGAGAGGCAAGCTATGGACAACGAATATGGATGGAAACAAGGTTTAATTGCAGAGATAGGACACTGTCCGGCAGCATGGAAGGTAATTAGATCCCTGGCAAGTATAGAAAGACAAGGCTGGAGAGACTAGAGTAGCACACTACACGTATAAAATAGGTCGCTTTTTCTTAAACCACCAGTACTTGGCCCATACATCGGCCGCGGGGTGTTTGTCGTTAACGCCACGCAACTTCCGCAGGCCCGGGGTACCCGACCTGAAAGGCTGGCGCCGCCAGCAAAAACTTTTTTTTTTGGTTGCACTGGCAGGTACGCCGCGCAGGCCGTTTTCAGGAGAGAGATGAGTAGCAGACTGTACATAAAATAGGTGCCTTTCAAATGCCCGGTGGGCGGGAACAAGAACTTAGAGTATTAGGGAGAGCATACTAGTAAAACTGAAAGACATTGAGATTTAAAAAAAAAAAAAAAAAAAAAAAAAAAAAAAAAAAAAAA